AAAAAGTAGGCTGTAACATGTAACCGGAGTACCTAGAAGCCCATGAAGTATAAAAAAAATAAAAACAAAAATTTTGAATTAAATAAATAAATTAATTAAAATCTATCAAAATTCAAATCATATCCACCCCACTTTAGGAACGGCTATAAAACAATAAATTAATTAAGCATCTTTGACCTTGTCACTTCGCAGGGTCACAGGATAGGGTGGATCGATTTGAATTTCGCTAGATTTTAATTTATTTATTTATTTAATTAAGAAATGGCAGAATCGCTGGAGGACCTAAGCGCTATGCTCAATGACCTCAATAGTGCCTCCCAACGGATAGGTCTTAAGATGAACATGGACAAAACAAAGATGATGTTTAATGTCCGTGTCACACCTATGCCGGTAGTTGTTGGGAGCACTAAGCTGGAAGTTGTTGACGAGTACGTTTACCTGGGACAAATAGTCCGACTAGGTAAGTCCAACTTCGACCGAGAGGTCAATCGACGGATTCAACTCGGCTGGGCAGCGTTCGGGAAATTACGTTACATCTTCTCGTCAGGTATACCTCAAAACTTGAAAACGAAATTGTACAACCAGTGCGTGTTGCCAGTGTTGACATATGGAACTGAGACGTGGTCCTTCACTGCTGACCGTATGAGGACACTTAATGTCGCTCAGCGAGCTATGGAGAGGGCTATGCTCGGGGTTTCTCTGCGTGATAAACTTAGAAATGAGGATATCCGCAGTAGAACCAGAGTGACCGACATAGCCCAACGGATTAGTAAACTGAAGTGGCAATGGGCCGGCCATATAGCTCGAAGAACCGACAACCGATGGGGAAAAAAGGTTCTCGAGTGGCAGCCTCGTACCGATAGGCGTAGTGTAGGGCGACCCCCCACTAGATGGAGTGACGACCTGATAAGACATGCAGTAAGTCGATGGATGCAGGTGGCTCAGGACCGTGCCTTGTGGCATACCTTGGGGGAGGCCTATGTTCAGCAGTGGACTTGTGAAGGGCTGTAATGATGATGATGATGAATTAAGAAATTATGTTTTTATTTTTTGTAAAATATCAGTACTAGGCTTCTACACCGTTCACATGTTACACTCTATTTTTTTCCAGAGGGTAAAAAGGTTACAGGGAGCCACCAACGCACAGTGGTGGACTGCCAAGCATCCAGCTGGTGAGGATGGTATCGTGAACATTGACGCGATGTGCTTTCGTGCTGTCGTTTCGTTTTCCCATGATAGTAGAAAACGCAAAGAGATGCAACATCCCTGCAGCGCCAGTGAATCGAGCCGATCAGAAAGAACTCGGTCGTCGATGTTTCGAATCGCTCTACGCTGGATGCGGTCAAGTGGAAACACTGGGGTGCCCCGGCTCAGAGATGAGAACAGTATCCCATGTGAGGCCGAACTTTGTAAATGTCTCGCTATTTATACGTATAGAACATAGATAGTTGCGTCGTAGTTTTTTTTATTGAGTTATTACCATAGAGTAATAAATAACATACGTATGTATGCAGCTGTTATCAGGCCCATCTCCTGTTTTAATCTCCCTCTGTCGCCTCTTACGACACCCACGGAAATCAACACTGCAAAACTATTGTAGCCTCTAAGCGACTTCTTAAAGAGCATTACTTGTCTCAATCGTTCGGAAATCATTAGGATAGATTATGATAGTTTTTGTATTTATTTGTTTATGTTATTGTTTGAGGAATATATTTGAAGATATATATATATATATATATATATATATATATATATATATATATATATATATATATATATATATATATATATATATATATATATATATATATATGTGTGTGTGTGTGTGTGTGTTGTGTTTATGTTTATGTATATACGTATGTATATGTGTATCATATTTTTAATGTATTAGTTATTTATATGTTATTTTATTTCATGTATTGATATTATATTTGGTATATTTATATTGCACCACCTACCTAGTATTCACTGTTTTATTCCTTTACACCTTTGGTTGTCTGGAAGAGATCGCTACGTAGCGATAAGGCCGCCAAATTGTACATGTAATCTGCTCTCTGTTATGTTCTTTGTAAATTTGTTTGTGGTGTACAATAAAGTTTATTCATTCATTCATTCAATGGAATGAAATATATGTATTTCTTGACGCAGGAAAATATAAAGGAAAATATTTATTAAATGTAATTTATTAAATGTACTTTTTGTAATAAAAACTTACATAGATACATAAACATTCACGCCTGCCACCCAGAGGGGTAGGCAGAGACTACAGACTTCCATTTGGCGCGATCCTGACACACCTCTCTCGCCTCCTCCACATCTATATACCTACGCATACATAAGGTAACGGAACCCATAATGGACAGTTTAAGATCAATTTTTTATATTTTCTACTATCTTTTGTAGATAAACGTTCATATGAATTCAATTGAGGTTGTAAGCGATTCCGTCCTCCATGGTGGCACTACTCCGGAGGCGTGAAGTCTTGTTCTTTAAGAAAGGCGACAATGCTCTCTTGAAGAACTACAGACCGATTTCCCTTCTGAGCCGCGTCTACGTGCTGTTTTCGAGAGTCATTACGAATCGTCTCGCACGCAGACTCGACGACTTCCAGCCTCCCGAACAAGCCGGTTTCCGAAAAGGCTTCAGTACCATAGACCACATACATACCCTGCGGCAGATTGTACAGAAGACTGAAGAGTACAATTTGCCACTTTGCCTGGCGTATGTGGACTATGAGAAAGCCTTTGATTCCGTCGAAATTTGGGCGGTGCTGCAGTCCCTTCAGCGGTGCCAAGTTGACTGTCGGTATATCGAAGTGCTGAAGTGTTTGTACAGTAGGGCTACGATGGCTATCCGAGTACAGAACCAGAGCTCGAAACCTATCCAACTGCAGAGAGGTGTAAGACAGGGTGACGTTATATCCCCGAAACTCTTCACCGCTGCTTTGGAAGACGTTTTCAAGCTACTGGACTGGAAAGGATACGGTATTAACATCAATGGCGAGTACATCACTCACCTTCGATTTGCCGACGATATAGTCCTTATGGCAGAATCGCTGGAGGACTTAAGCACTATGCTCAATGACCTCAATAGTGCCTCCCAACGGATAGGTCTTAAGATGAACATGGACAAAACAAAGATTATGTTTAATGTCCATGTCACACCTATGCCGGTAGTTGTTGGGAGCACTATGCTCGAAGTTGTTGACGAGTACGTTTACCTGGGACAAATATTCCGACTAGGTAAGTCCAACTTCGACCGAGAGGTCAATCGACGGATTCAACTCGGCTGGGCAGCGTTCGGGAAATTACGACATATCTTCTCGTCAGGTATACCTCAATCTCTGAAAACTAAAGTGTACAACCAGTGCGTGTTGCCAGTGATGACTTACGGATCAGAGACGTGGTCCTTCACTGCTGGCCGTATGAGGACGCTCAAGGTCGCTCAGCGAGCTATGGAGAGGGCTATGCTCGGAGTTTCTCTGCGTGATAGACTCAGAAATGAGGATATCCGCAGTAAAACCAGATTGACCGACATAGCCCAACGGATTAGTAAGCTGAAGTGGCAATGGGCCGGCCATATAGCTCGAAGAACCGATAACCGATGGGGAAGAAAGGTTCTCGAGTGGCAGCCTCGTACCGGTAGGCGTAGTGTAGGGCGACCCCCCACTAGATGGAGTGACGACCTGGTAAGATATGCAGGAAGTCGATGGATGCAGGTGGCTCAGGACCGTGCTTTGTGGCATACCTTGGGGGAGGCCTATGTTCAGCAGTGGACTTGTGAAGGGCTGTGATGATGATGATGATGATGATGTAAGCGATTAAAGAACTTATTGGTAATAAGTTCATTTATTGAAAACTACACTATTCTTACAACTTTTAGAAATATACAAAAAAACATTTAAAAACACCAGTGATGAACAGGGTCAGTTCCAGTTTTGGACATCCAATGTTGGAACAACCTCCAGTTATGAACATCTAGTGATGGATACCGAACATTTATGCAAGGAAGAAAATAAAACAAGTAATTTATATTAATCAGTCTTTCATACTTTTTATTGAGCACAAAACTATTAGTTTTTGTATTAGAAATATAAAAGCAAGCAAATTAATAAACTCTAATTCCATGTCTTTAATTTTAACCCCCGCTTATTCAGGAGCAAAGGGTCATTAATTTTCTCTATTACATCTTCTGCGTTGTACCATATTTTATCTGGCCATCTGAAAGAGTATAATACCGTATATAGTTATTTCATATAAATTTCGTTCTGTTTTTTCTATTCTACCCGGAAAATATTCTCCCTCATATTTTACAATAACCATAACAAAGGAGCCATTGGTAACACCTTTAGTTTTCTTCGTACACTAAGTTTTCTTGCGAGAAACTATTTAACTTAAAGGTTCATTTTCAGAGTCTGATTTCCCACTTTGAGCATATTCGGAGTCACCGCTTTCAGCATACTCCACTTTCATGTCATCATCGGAAAACAAATCTTGCTGCCTTATATTTGTCGTTAGTTTTTGTTTTTGTTGTTGTTTCTTTTCTAGAATTATCTTTTCCTTTAATATTTTTCTGTCTTTTCTTTGTTTTATTCGTTTTTCTTTTTCTTCTTCCTTTTTTACATTCCATTTTTTTTTTATTTCATGTAATATCTCCATGTTTCACTAGTTATAGCTGACGGTACACGTTCCTTGGTAAGTTGTTTCAGATTTGGGCGAAGATAAGACACGCTTAAAAGGTGACGGGATTACCCAGTCTTTGGGTAATATTGTAGAGGTTGAATGATACGATACTGGTGAATTATATATATATATTAGTTATAACAGATTTATGTGGTGCAGCATAATATACTGTTGAAAAAGATTTCTCATTGTTTCCTTGTCCAGTTGGGTGATTGATTATTTTTTTTATCCTGTCCTTGTGTATTCAGTGTTTGCGTATTCTGTTCTGTTGTTATCTGTTCTTGCATATTCTGTTCTTCTACGTTCTTTCTTTGTATATTAAAATTTGGTGCTTGTGTGTGTTTCTCTTTCATTCTGTTTTTCAGTGTTCACTTTTATAATCTGTCCAATTTCATTTAGTCCTTGTGTATTCTTTTCTGTTGCGACTTCCGCACTCTGTTCTTCTTTATGCTCTCTTTGTGCATTCAATTCTTGTGTATTCTGTTTTGGCGTGATCTGTCCTTGTGCGCTTAGTCTTTGTATGGTCTGTACTTCTGCATTATCTCTTTGCATGTACTGTTCTAGCATTTTTATTCTCAGTCCCAGTTATGGACTGGCAGTGATGGACACTGTTGTACATTACAGGATTACGCTATAATTTTTTAAATATTTCAAGAATAGAACGTAACATATTTTTGTCAGAGTTCACAGAATACAAAATTGGCGAATTTGTTCAAAAATCGAGTAATGAACAAAATGTACATGACTGGGTAGTAACGTGTTAGTGTATCCAGTGTTAAACATAGTCTTTAATTGTTTATTTTTTTTTTCCCTTTAATATGTACAAGGTCATATTACAATTCTTGATCTACCCCTAAAACACGAAATAAATAGACATTTCATAAAATATGCATAACTATTTCAGAAAAAAAGTAATTGTTGAACTCACCAGCATCACGATGCTTACAATAATTTAGGATTTATTTAAATAAACGTCACGACCACGTTTTTGCACTCTTCCTGTGAACGAACACAATGTCTCATGTGCTGTAAAACAAAAAACATAGCTTCGGTAGGGTCTATCACTCGTGGAGAATATTGCCAGTTATAAGAAATATTCATAGTTTGGCTATTTTTGATAGATAAAGGATGAAATGTCCATCACGGGTGCACTGTCCATTACGGGTTCCGTTATCTTACGCATCCGTTAAGTTTACTCTTAATTAGGCCCATTTTCAATATATCCCCAATTTGGTCGATAAACTTTCACCTAGGACGTCCCTTTCCGACTCTTCCGTTTACTTTTGCAACATAAATTTCAGTTTTCACTTTAAAAAAAACTTGTTCAAAACAATTGATAACTTCTTTAGGCACGTTAGGCACTTTTGAGACGGGGGTTTTTTCACTGAACTCGCGTGACCGTCAACGCTGAGATACATAAAACTGATGAAAGTAATGTTGAAAGTCCAATTGATAAAATTTTATAAAATTGATATTTATTTGCAAATTTGCGTGTGTCATATAGATAATAAACATTATTTTTAATGTAAACATCGCAATAAATGAAAACCTTATTTACATTACAAGGATATTCTTGACAAAAAAAATTGTAAAATTTAAAAAATAAAATTAAATTTAAAAACTATAGAAAGGTTCTCGAGTTACAGCCTCGTACAAGTAATCGGAGTGTAGGGCGGCCCCCCACTAGATGGAGTGAAAACCTGGTAAGACATGCAGGGAGTCGATGGATGCAGGTGGCTCAGGACTGACTTTGTGGTATTCCTTGGAGGCCTATGTTCAGCAGTGATTTGTGAATGACTGTAATAAGGATAATAATTAGAAAGATTACTTTTTGACTGCCTCGTTGGTCTAGCGGTAGTAGTGCGCCTGCTGATCATGAGGTCCCGGTTTGAGTCCCGGGTCGGGCCAAAAAATAACTAATGAGTGTTTCTGTCAAGTTTCGACAGGCCTGTTGGTCTAGTGGTTAGTGACCCTGACTGCTATGCCGGAGGTCGTGGGTTCGATTCCCACCCAGGACAAATGTTTGTGTGATGAGCACGATCATTTGTTCTGTGTCTGGGTGTAATTTATCTATAATATTTATGTATTTAAAAATATATAAGTATGTTTATCAGTTGCCTAGTACCCATAACACAAGCTCTGCTTAGCTAGGGACTAGATGACGTTGTGTGATAGTTGTGGAATATTATTATTATTATTATTATATAAATTCCTAGTAGCTGCCCGAATTCAGGAAATTGACTGTGTTTAACCCTCGTGCCCTGGAAAGCACGTAAAGCCGATGATCCTGCGCCTGATCTCCCTCCGCTCGTGTCGGAAACCGTCCCATCGGACTATGAGAGTGAGGGAATAGAGTGCATGTGTGGTGCGTACATTGGGCACTATAATCCTGTCCTGCGCCGATGGCTAGTCTCCGTTGAGACAGGCCGCCGTGGCGGAAATTTGGTCTGGAGGACAATATGAGTACACAATTCATCTACATTTCTATTCTACAAGAAATTATGGTAGTACACTATACCTACAGATATAAATGTGTGAATCAATTAGATATACCCATTATCGACAAACGAGCACACACCTGATGGTTAGAGGAAGTAGCCAAAAGACACCCTAGATATATCTTGTAAGTACCTACTACGATGCAATGTCTTGTGTTGCCAGACATTCCATCATAGTAAGAATATATCGCGTTATAAATATTAAAAAAATCATACAGTCGAATTTTAAAGCCGACTAAAAATCATTTCAACATCGAAACTCCCGTTACAATCTCATTTGTTTAGACTATAAATAATGTAAATCGTAAAATGAGAAAAAACACATTAAATTAAATTTCAGACGAACATTTTTGTTTTATTGAAAACATTTCTAATATCAAGTACACCGCCGCCCATGCGGTCTTTTATATACACAGTTGTGTGTTTGTCTTATAAACAAAAATGTTGCTGACATTTAATTTTGTTTCATTTTTATTTCGATAGTTTAAAATATTATCTTTGTTAATTTGTGTTGACTATTCCTACGGACATCAACGATAACGGATGTCAACATGTCCGTATGTATGAGCGAGCGTGCGTAAGTGCGTGCGTGCTTGCGTACGGTGCGTCCGGCGTTGCGTGCGTGCGTGCGTGCGTGCGTGCTTGGTGCGTTGCGTGCGTGCGTGCGTGCGTGCGGGCGTGCGTGCGTGGCGTGCGTGCGTGCGTGCGGCGTGCGTGCGTGCGTGCGTGCGTGCGTGCGTGCTGCGTGCGTGCGTGCGTGCGTGCGTGCGTGCGTGCGTGCGTGCGTGCGTGCGTGCGTGCGTGCGTGCGTGCGTGCGTGCGTGTGTGTGTGTGTGTGTGTGTGTGTGTGTGTGTGTGTGTGTTGTAAACCTCTTATAACTTTCGAACGGCTTGACCGATTTGAACTATCTTGATGGTGTTCAAAAGGGTTTTATCAAACTTTGATTTCCAATGCTGTTTCAACCGATTTCGACCAGTTAGATTCTGAAAAATCTCAAAAATTCAATTTACAGAAAAAAAATTTATAACTTTTAAACAGTGGTAAGGATCAATTCCAGAACCAAAATCTAATCAGCTCTCAACCATAGAAAACGACGTCTATTGCTGAAAAACCGCCTTAAAATTCAAAAAACCGGTTAATGCGTTGAAGAGAAATCGATGATGAAAATTTTCGAAAAAAGCGTTTTTATTTTACATAAATTTTGATATTATAGTCTAATCATCTTTTATAATAGTTTTTATAATTATCCTTAAATACCTTGTTGATTGCCACCAATTACCTACATCAAAATCGGTTGATCCGTTTGAAAATTATCGTTGTCAAAATATGTAAAAAGAGTTTTTTAATAACTTCAAAATTTCTGCTCTAATCGTTTTTGACGATTTAACTATTAGTTCGTAAAAATATTTGTCGAGCGTTTTGAGATCGAACATAGCGGAAAGTTCCAGGGATGGCCTGCAGGGTCAACAGATTTTTTTAAAATTATTAACTGACAATAACAACTCATCTAATGGTAAGTGGCTAGCTGAGATAGCTAGTGCACTTTTTGGCTAGTGCAACTCGGCTTATGGCCATGTCCAAAAAAAGTCACGAATGTCAACATAACATAAACAATGACGTCACATTGAAATAATACGAGTTTTTACGGAATTTATCGCGTATATTTAACTTTTTAAATACCCGACGTTTCGAGCGCTTTACATCACCCATGGTCATTGGGGGGGGGGGGGAGTGAGATGTTCAATGTCCAGATGTCATAGTTAACCGCGGTTACCATAGATTAAAATTTTATTTTTGTTCCGATCTACACAGTATGAACTTATGGTATCTTGAAGTCTTGCAGTTGTATGCTTGGGTAGGGATTATATTTATTATAGGATCCCAAGCAGATGGTAGCACCCAGCCATCTTCTCTATTGAAATTAGGATGTTTTTGTATTTCAATAGCCTCGCGAATCATCCTTGGAAGGAATCGGTGTTCTTTAGCGAGGATTTGTGGTCTATCAAATCTGATGTAGTGACGGGGGCGATCCTGTACGTGTTCACAGACTGCAGACAGCTAGTATTATATAAGTCAATGATTAAATGCCTGCGTATATGAATTATTAGAAGCGATAAAACAGATGCTCTGATAGTGATAATACGATAATACTTTAAGTTATGTGCACATCGATATATTATCATCATCGTCGACACTGCAAGGTGGTGCATCAAACAAAATATTGTGTAAAATTGTGCCACATATACGTTAGATAAGGCCTTAGATATCGTTTTATAAAATTTGTAATTTTTTGGTAAAATTAAAAGTTTTGTACAACCGACTTTAATACGACCGAATCAATGTATTCGAAATTCAATTAAATAAGCTTTATTAAAGATAACTCAAAAACTACTGGTCGGATCATGCTTAAATTTATATGGGTCCACACAAGGAGCACCAGCTTTCAGATAAAATAAGAATCATCCAAATCGCTTCACCCACAGAAAAGTTGATGCTTACGTTGTTTACACATTAAAAAAATACAGTCGAATTGAATGCCTCCACCTTTTTGAAGTGGTTATAAACAAATTATAACGGAAATCTTTTTTTCGATCAAAGAAGTCTATTATACTACTATATGAGTTAAATTTCTTTCTAGCATTTAGCTAAGACTGAAGGGCCTCGTGATCAGAGCATCAGATTACAGCATCGTGTGTCTTATTTTCAAATCGCAGAAGCAGTGTAACGTAACAAAAATTTTATTATTCCGCTTTATTCGCCCATAAGTATCCACTGCCGATCATGAGTCTTCTTCTGTTGAAGTGAGAACTTGCTTAAGTCGGTACGCTTAGCAGCCGAATTACCAAGATATAGATAATAATAATAATGTCTTCCAGACCGAATTTCGGCCACGGCGGCCTGCCTCAAAGGAGGCTAGCCATCGGCGCAGGACAGGATTATAGTGCCCAAGTGTATGCGCAAGCACAGGTGCACTCTCTATTCCCTCACTCTTATAATCCGATGGGACGGTAAACCGACACGACCGGAGAAGAGATCAGGCGCAGGACCAATAG